CAAGTCAGCGGTGGAATTACTAAGCTACCTCATCTCGTCATCTGGTATCGATGTCATCGCAGATAAGATCCAGGCCATTAAAGACATCAGTTAAGCACCTGGGTTGAGTTGGTGCTCTAGTCAAATACTATCAAGGATCTATCCCGGCTGCTCTCAGCTCATGTAACCAAGTAGGAACCTACTCAAAGAAGATTAGCTTAACTTCGCTTTCACCGATGCAGCACACACAGCTTTCAACGACCTAAATAATGCCATCTCCAACATCGCCCAGAGGCTCATTCCTAAACAACTGATCCTTTTTCTCTTACAACTAAAGCTTTTAACTTTACGGTGGGAGCTATCCTCCAATAGCACATTGGCTGGCAGTGTTAATCTCTTGGCTTATTCTCCAAAGGTCTGTAACCAGCGGAGTCCCGCTACAACACGTTTGGTGGAGAATTGCCTGCCGTCCGCTTAGCTATCCGTCACTTCCCACAAGCAATAGGGTGGGATTTCATGGTCTACACTAAAAACACTCGTTTTATTTTGGCCGTAGACTCGTCCTCAGATATATATTTACCACGGAAAACTAGACACTTAGAATTTGTCACACAGTTCACTGCTGACTAACGTCATGTCTCAGGTGTAGCTAACCTCGTTGTTGACACCCACGTGTCAGTGTTCTCCTTCACTATTTACCTACTATCAACCTCGCCGTCTTAACATGGACTCAGGCCAAAGAGGAAGCGCACCAACGCACCCTGTAGTTCACCTCACCCAATGTGCAACTTGCTCCTTTCCAAACCACGGACGAAAGAACCCTTTATAACACCTCCTCAATTGGTCCTACGCCACTCGGGCCCACCTCCTTTGGACTCACATTACTTAACTTTATTCACTCAGTCTCATTCTGGTATTCTGAATAAGTGAGTCTGCTCACCAAGAATTTCAGTTGAGAATTAGTAAACAAAGACGTTCGAACCTCGGCTGGCGCTTGTCTTCACTGCCAGCGCTCCAAGGCACAACGGCACATCTATTGTCCACTCGGCTCATTCCCTGCTCCGGTTTCTCGTTTCTCTAATGTACACTTAGTCCTGGTGGACCTGGACAGAGCGTATGGGTGGTCACTTCACTATCTGCTCCAGTTCAATAAGCAGAAGCGTCAAGTGGTTCATCTTTGCCACCAGCCGATACTTACATACAAGCTTGGAGATCATGTTCTTCAAGCAGTCACCCAGGAGCGCGACCTTGTGGTACTAGTTCAGGCTGGTCTAGTCTGCTAAGAGCAAGCTGAGGTGCCAAATACCGGGAACTAACAAGTTGGCATGCTGTGTAGGGCATTTGGGCGTGTTGAGACCTCTGTTTGTACTCCATTGCTTAACACCTACTTGTGGCCTCATGTAAACTACGCGATCCAGGGGCAACAGCCCAGCATGGAGCAAGACCGTGCAGCGCTCGAGGCTTCACAATGACGAGTCGTGAAGCATGTCGAAGAGTTGCCCAACCTTCCTTATCATTTTTGCCCGCGGACACTTATATGTGCAGTGGCCGGTAGCGGCGCCTACGTGACGACCTCATTAGGTCCTACCAGATTCTAAGAAACCCCAACCACGTCCGCCGCCACCTACTACAACGGAGCCACAACACGAATTTGAGGGGCCACCAGTTCGCGTTATCCAAACAATACAGTCGGCTAGAATGTCTGCGAAACGTTTAATCTCTTCGTGTGTGTCAGCATTGGAACGCCCCCTTAAGTTACGTTGTTTTCGCCCCAACCTTATCTGTGTTTAAAAACTCCTTGATATTGCCCTAACCCACCTAGACTACAAAGTATAGCCTGTGTGTCTTGATGGACGATATAATGCGAGGAAAATTGTACAACCAGAATTACCCTACACGACTGAAGTTGACTTTTTCTGCTTGCCTCAGCGTCAACACGGTGGTGAGTCCAACAAAACAGATTTCATTGTATCCCAATGTTTTTTCTCCACCATGTTGTGGTTGTTTTTTGACCATCCTATGGGACTTGCTAACCATTCTCTTTTTGCCTGTAATATACCATTTTCCGTTATGTCATAAACCATTTATGTTTTTACTAGTTAAAGACATTGGATTATATTCTTCTTTTTGTATTCCGGTCCTCAATATTTTTACTAATGTGTCATCCAGTCTACTCGCACTCGCCCTGTGAATCATACTGCTACATTCACTATATACTTACTTAAATGCCAACTAGTTCTTTTTGATCTTGTCAAGGAATCTTTGATCTAGCCACCCTTACTGTGCTCCGCATATTCATAGGTAAAGGGAGTACATTATCTAGATCTTACGTGCCATGGATTGCAAGCAAGATCTGAGTAGCTCCTTACAACGTTAAATATTAAAATTCCTTATCAATAATACCTTTCTTTACACATGTACCGTCTGCATATACTAGAATCATAAACGCATTCGTTGTGTTTTGTTAATAGAAAACTACTTTCTAACGGTATTTACTGTTTCTGGCATTCAAATTGTGTCATATTTGAGACGAACTAGGTTACCCAAACAAATATTCGGTGTATTCTTTGGTCATAACCATTCCGTATTAAAGAGTGGCAAATTGCTTTCTGTTTGCCGTGGACGGCACTTGCAAGTAGAAAAGTGTTTGCGGCATATGCTAAAGCAGTGCAGACAATCTTTTGATTGTTCGAAATTCTCCAAAATTTGTCATAATGTAACTGTCAGAAACACATGTATCCGTTTTATGACTAAAACAATAACCATATCTGTGCTAATGACCAAAACCTGTCCGCTGAAGTGAATGCTAGACATCCCCGACAGACCAATTTTTGTGTCCCCGACCGTCCCAAGAAGACAATTTTTAGATGGCTGTTGGGCACGGAAAATGATTGTTTTTCGACGCACGCTTACCATGGGCTATGAATGATTTTTGCTTAGTTGCATGTGCAGTCAACACTAGGATGAAGTCAATACCCAGCTCGTAATTAGCAAATAGTATAGTCGTAAATCGAAACTGACAAGATTCATGTGTGACAACAATTCGTCGTAACTGGGACGACGTTTAGTCACTTACTATGTTCACAACGCACTTTAACCTTATAATGTAAAAGCATTAATCCTGGCGACAAATAAGCTCAAAATTAAGCCGAAAGCAACCCCAAATTGTAATCACATAATATTGTAGCCGTTAAGGTAAACAGAAAAACTTTGCCGAAATTGTTTACGATTGGCCAAAGATCGTCGAAAATTGTCCTATTGGGACGGCCGGAGGCACAAAAATTATTCACCCGAGGCGTCCGAACGATTACTTGCGCTGAGTGCAATTAGACCTTTTAATGTAATGACTTTCCGACAAAGAATGGAAATGCTAAAAATGCACAAGCTTATTTAACAACATAGCAGAACGGGTCACGCTATATGTTTGCATACTAATATATTTGCGTACTCGAATGGAATGACTGAATGCCCATCTTTGAGGACAAAATCCGTAAGACAACCCATATGTCGCTCTAGTGTATTATATTCCGTCTTTCAAGTTATGCGAGCAGCGTCATCCTTACAAATATTCTTAGAATGTTACAGAAATATATAAAGGCTGTACACATTTAAGCTTTACATTGGAATACATTGGGGTATTGAGAGCAGGAAGAAACACTCTTCTCAGTTCCATCGGTTCCGAATCAGCGCAAGGTGAGTGCTTGCTGTCGGGAAGCGTTGCACCTTCGGAGATCATTACCATTGAAAAAGTAAGAGCAGCAGGATCCTGCCATGTGCGTTAGATGGGTGTTTAGCAATAGCTTGAAACTTTCCTCTGTCTGCGAGTCAGTGATGTGTTTCGGCAGACTAGCAGTCGTTTACCACTCTGAAAGATAGGACAGCTTGCAGACAGGCGCGAGGTGTCCTCGACTTAAATAATTTTCATATGTGGCTACGTGTCGAGGTGCCCACACTTAGATGGAAGAACAGCAGCAGCTCAATTCCAAGCTCTCCCATTAGGATGCGTATGGTGTAAAAGAGAGCTCCGCGATGGCGGCGGTAATCCATGGAAAACAAGTTCAAAGTCTTAAGTTGAAGAGTGTAGGGGAGCTCCCGTAGCTCCGATATAGATATGGAACCGCGAATCTGCAGATGCACTATCAGTTCATGTTCTTATTTCGTCCGAGGTAATCGGCCGGGAGACTATAGCATCCAAAAAGATAACTGCTTTCTTTTATATACTATTTAATTGTTGACCATTTGTACCTTATTCTTTCTTGTTTTGATCTTTATTACAACCCGCTCGACACCCGACTGAGTTGTAAGTTCCCGCGCTAACCTGTACCTCCTGCCTTGCTATATCTGTCCATGTCTTTTGTAGTCCATTGAATACAGTCTGCTGTTTCCGACTCCAATTGCCTTCTGATAGCCGTGCTTACTTTCGCGTACCGTCTCGGACTAGTATTTACTAGTCCTACAATCTAGGATCGGGTGGACATGCGAAGCAGACAGCGTACTAAAGAAAGCCGGTGTAATTTTACAAATAATCGCAAAGTCCAGAGCATTCGGTTGGCTGCCGCAACTTTCTGTTGCGTGCCGTGATGTCTTGAGATCATGTGAGACCATGACTTCAGATCCTTCTCATGTGTAACAGACTTGAGATATCCTCCGATATGATACGCATAAAAAGGATCCAAGCCACCATTACTTACTTATCAAATATACGAGTAACACATGTCACTCAACATAAAAAATTAAACAGTATTTTTAAACTATCGCCTAGGTTTTGGATTCATATAGTCATGTTGGCAACTTATTTAGAGAAGTTTAATCTCGATATTTGAGACGATTCTGTTCTTAATGTTGCAAACCATGTCTAAAAGTTGGGTTGCGCAGCGGCATTAGGTGTGGATATTTTACTTAAAGCAATCTAACGATATATACTTGGTTTTTATCCTTAACCATGAAACAACACCATTTTCATTTTTTATCATACCTAATTCGTCGCGGCACAGGCAATTTAGGGAACCTAGAATGCTAACCTTTTTGATTAACTGCTGATTCTCTTCATTTGCAATTGGAATTGCGTGCGCTTCGTTCCATCCAAGTTCTGCCAAAACTTTTGAAACCAAAAAGTCGTTATTTGGCGGCATTTCAAATAAATGATTGTTAGGTTATCATAGATATCCTTATACTAAAGATTAAAACAAACCACCAGGTGTATGCATCTTTTAAATATCCTAGAGTATGACTCTATAAAACCAAGAAATATTATCTAATTTTGGATGTCAGCGCACACTTCACTTTCACTTTTACTTTCTTAAATATTACATATCTGGTTTTATGGACAACAAGCCTGTTAGATATTTGCTATCATGCACGGTGACCTCGCGGTTTGTGATTAAACTTCTTAAGCTGCATGATACTAGAAGCAAGTTTTATTTTAGTAACTGCGTTTGTAAACAATTCCACATGCTTAAACAATGCAAATGATCGGTCGGTACTTACCCAGAGTCGACTTGCTGTAAGAAAATATTGGAGAAAGGCGAATAGTTTAGCGATATACACCTTTTATAGTTGAACCATGAGGCTCTGAGAGCTAAGAATGCATAGGGAAATGGCGCTAGATAGAGGAGAATTGTGGTTTCCACCACAGTTGTCGCCGCTTTTTCTCGAGACATATAAGCGGAAACTCGCGAATTGCAATGGCTGTGGTTAATACAAAAGCCCGCAGTTAATGGTAATGGATAATTATTCTACCGGCGGTGGCGGGTAAAGTAAGGATAAATTAGCAAATTATACTTTTAAATCGTTAGAAGTGCGTTTTGAGGTCGCTAGAAACTGTAAACAGACGCTTTAATTGAAATTTTGACTAACGGTTTTAACGTGAATCTACTGATCCATATATCAGAGAGCGCCTTATAGCTGTCCTCCATATCTGCCTGTGCTGTGGACGCTAGGTGAAGCAGTGTCGCCTTGGGGACTGCTGCGGCGGTTTCATATGCCGATTGCGGCTGCAATAACTCAACGGCATCAATGAAGCGGCTGGTATACAAAAACTAGTTAGTCAGAAAGCTAATGATAAGGGGATATGGAGGCTTTTCGGCATCTTAACATCAATATTGCACGTCATTGTTGGTACACAATACGAAAGCTGCCGGCGGTCGCCACCGTAACCGTGGCATTGTGCTTCCGAAATGAATAGCAACTTTGCACGGGAAGTGGGTATGGTTTCACGCCTACCGCAAACTTCTTGAAGCCCGCCAATAATTTATATCAGTTATCCTGTTAAAGCTGTACATTTGGTTACAGCGACTGCAAATGTACCGCCCATGTCGTTTCGTCGATATTTCATATAATGTAATCTTCTATGAACCGTAACCATGATTATCACGTGGGAAACCCCGGTTACACTACGTAATCGCAGCTTCTCACCGGAGTATGAGGATCAGGTGTTCGAGCTCGTGGGTTGCTTTAAGACTACGCGTAAGATAAGAAATTTATCCTTCGTTTCATTGCAGGTCGGACTTCAGGTCTATAGGTAACTGGCCAGCTGAAATAAGGCATGGAGAGGAAGCCGTGCGAATGTAGGGGCGGTCGCAACGGAAACGCCTATGCAATATCTTGAACGACTATGGCATCTTGAAGTACGTACTCTTTATACCACCAAGCCTTTCTGCCGGTGTGCAAACGCTTCTTCAATGTCATTTTGGCAGACGCACCTTGGCCGAAACAAGTTGCAAAAGAGGTATCATTGACCCATCAAAAACGAGTAACTGCCGACCTCCCATCGGTCGGCATTCTCCTACACTTGACAGCTTCACCTCTCTGTGGGCTCTTAGAGACGGTGAAACTGGCCTGCTTGTATACAAATGCTCAGGGTCTTTATAAAAAACTGGCTGAACTGAAAGATCGCCAGGCTTCTGGCTCGTATTATGTCATTGGTATCACCAAGACATGGTTGCACGCGGGAATGACGGACGCTGAAGTTTCGCTACCGGGCATGTCGCTGATCCGGAACGATAAGCTCACAAAAGGAGGAGTGGTAATCCTGGATTACCGAAACGACTTGCAGTGCGAAGCCGTAAATGAATCAGACTCGCAGTTCCCCGACTCTCTTTGGTGCCGGTTGCAGTTAAAAGGCAGGGAGGCTTGCCTAATTGTCTTGGTATATCGCGCCTCTAACCAAACACCCGAAACCGACTACAACCTAACGAATGCTTCAAGGTGCAGTTTACAACAAAAGTACACTCACATTCTTAGCATGGGTGGTTTCAACGTACATTGTTTAGAAGCCCCTGCCACGATCGGAGAACAATTAAAAACAGAGTTACAAGATCTAGTAACTACTGCTCCTCTTTACAACCACATCACTTTGCCCACTCGGTTCAGAACTGGTACCAGGCCATCTGTGCTGGTTCTTGTGCTTACCAACGAGGAGTATATGATTGCTGGTTGGTTTTGGACTGCCCGTTGGGTCGCAGTGATCACACAGTGATCAGTTTCAACTTCTTCTGCTATGCAGAATATCGGATTGATAACGATGATACTGTGAGAACCATCACAAGGTACGATCGACTCGCCCAGCTAGTCAGCGCCACAACATGGTCTTTCCTCGAAGAAGAACCGCTGGAAGCCGCCTGGCTCGAGCTCGTCAAAAATTCAGTAAGCTGATTGGCCAGGCTTCAGAGATATAAGCTTGCAATAAGCGCACCTCAGTTTCTTTCGTTAGGAGCAGAACTGGAAAATGGATGACAGTACGCAAGGCAGCATGGCGAGTGTTCCGAGAAGCTCCAACACCAGAAACTTGGGACAACTACGTAGCCCAACGTAACCACTGTACTCAACTGTTAAGGGAAGACAAAGCCGCCTATCAGCAGAATATCGCAAAACCCTTTAGTTCTAAACACAAACTGCTGTACAAGCATATTAATAGCCTAGGAAAGGTGAGGCAAGGCTTTCCTCCACTCAAGACGGCTGATGGCCCACGAGAACGGCTATGGAAGCTGCAAAGGCGCTGCAGTTGCAATACGCCCCCACGTTTCATAGGGCCTTGCCACCAAGCGATCTACCAAGCTTTATATTCTGTGCACTAGGACCAACCCACATCAATTTTACCGCAGAGACTTTATTGCAAAAGCTGACTTCTCTACGCAAACACAGCTAGCCAGGTGTCGACACCATACGTCCAGAGGCACTGGAAGCAGCAGCAAACCAACTGGCAGAACATTTAGCTCAGTTTTTCCAGCGCTGCTTAGACCAGAACCAAGTTCCCGCCATGTAGAAGCTTGGAATAATAAGCCCGATTCACAAAGGTGGAAGCAGAACTGATCCCTCCAACTACCGCCCAGTATCCCTTCTTCTTATACTCTCCAAGATCATGGAATCCATAGTCGCCGATGCACTGGTGTGCTATCTGGAAAACTGCAACTCATCACTCCTGAACAGCACGGTTTCCGTCGACAGCTGTCATGTACAACGAATTTACTCATTGCACGCAGTAGTTCGACCGAGGCAGCTGACGATGAAGGCGGCGTTGATATAAACTACCTGGATTTTTCCAAGGCTTTCGATTGTTTAGACTAGCGGATACTACTATCCAAGCTGCAGCGTTACGGGATCGGAGACCCTCTTTTAAGATGGATCGCAAACTTTCTACTTCAACGGCAATTATTGGTCAGAGTTCGGAGCACTTTATCGGACCCCATACAAGTCGAGTGTGGTGTGCCGCAAGGCTCGGTTCTAGGCTCACGTTTGTTTTTGGTGCTTTTTATGACCCTGCACAGCCAATCGCTTCAGACTTCCTAAGGTTTGCCGACGATATCCAGATCTGGCGCAGGATCCAGGCAAACGCTGACCAACCTGTGCTTCAGAGTGACTTAGATACGGTGTAACAATGGTCGACCCCAATCTTATTGCAATTCAACGTCAGTAAATGCAAGGTGCTTTCCATCCGACATCAGAGCAGCTACCCATACCGACTCGGAACGGATATACTGCAGCAATCAACTCTCGAACGTGGCTTGGGTGTCCTGGTTCAAGATGACTTGGGTTGCTCCAGGTAATCCGAATAGGCCTCGAAGACCGGGAACCAACACGTTTGGCTAATGCGAAGGGCGCTTGGACAAAAAAACAGCTCCATATTTCGACAGATGCTCAGTGCGTATGTTCGCCCCCATGTCGAATGTGCAATTCAAGCCTGGCATCCGTGGCTGAAGCACGACCTTAATGCACTGGAACTGCCACAACGCCGGGCATCTAAGAACGTAATTGGAATGCGCAATCTTTCCTACCAGGAGAGGCTGCAACGACTGGGATTGTTCAGTGGAAGCTATCGCAGACTACGAGGCGACCTTATTATGGCATACTTCATTCTGCGAGACCCACATTATGTGTGCCGCCCTTTACTGCAACTCAGCAGCAATACAAACCTGAGGGGCCACTCATTAAAACTCGCAGAACAATACAGTCTTTTGGAGTGCTGCAGAAAGTTCTTTTCCATTCGTGGCTGTCACCCGTGGAATGCTCTTCCAGAATCGGTCGTTTATGCAACAACACTAACAGTATTTAAAAGACAGTTGGACGATGCACCCATCCACTTATACTTGGTTACTTAACATCAGGTCTCAACCCTACACCTGGAGTTTACCATGGAATTATTTGTTGTTAACTGTGGGTGTTGTGGATCTAAGAGGATCGCAGGACTGCAGCGAAGCAAACGATAAGTCCTTATTTTCGTATTTAAAGTATTAACTATTTTACCATCCTTATTGTTATGTTGATATCCCCATCAACTATCCAACGGGACTTGTAAAGTAACGCTTCTTAACCCGTAGAAATGCATTGTTCATTGTTCAAGGTACTTATATCTCATAATTCGCAAGGCTGGTAGAAGAAACAGGCTAGGCTGACAGCTTTTTCTTTTTCCTCTTGCAAAATGACACTGGACGCTGGAATCGTCATGCAATGCAGCGAATATCTCAGCATTTATCAATAACCTGTCCAGCAATTATGTTGACGCTAGCGCGCTGTTTAACTCAAATGAACGCTAGTGAACCATACATCCTTAATGCCAATGTGGTGATTTTACCGCTTCCATGTACTAAAGGACTTGCGATAGCTATGCGTTCATGTACAAGTGTGCAACGCTATG